GCAGGCCCCAGCCGCAGTTGCTGCTCAGTACCCTCTCCGCCTCATCCAAGAGGGCCCCCACTAGACTTCCTTCTATGCTGACTTCTGACCCACAGGGGCCCCCCAGGGGGCCCCCCTGGGGGCCCCCTTGGGGGGCCCCCTGGAGGCCTCCCTGGGGGGCCCCCTCGGGGCCCTCGTGGGGGGCCCCCTGGGGGGCCCCCCGGGGGGCCCCCTCGGGGGCCCCGAAAGGGTACTGCGGAATTAGGAGAAGGGCAGCAGCAGCAAAAGGGAAATGAACTAAAAAGAGAGAAAAGCTTTTTGCAAGGAGGCAGTGGACCAGTGGTCCACTTGGAGAGTCTCTGTGGCGCTGCAGCAGCAAACAAACAAACCCCAAAAAAGACCCTAGGGCCCCCTGGGGGGCCCCCCGGGGGGTAGGGGCCCCCCGGGGGGCGGGGGCCCCCCCCCCCACTGCTGCTGCTGCTGCTGCTGCTGCAGCAGCAGCAGGATCGTCGGGGGCAGGGACTTGGCCTCGAGGAAGCAGAGCTGCTGCTGCTGCTGCTGCTGTGAAGTTGAAATTTGCAAAATAAATAAAATGAGATTTGAGCGAAAAGAATTCGGAGGGTTTGAGGCCCCAGGAGTTGGGGTGTACGTACACCTGGTCCAGCTCGGCCAAAAACGCACTCGAGGGACTTTCCATGCTGTGGCAGAAAAACCCGCCCCAAACCCTAAACCCTAAACCCTAAACCCTACTCCCTATGGGGCCCCCTCGGGGCCCTTGTGGGGGGCCCCCTGGGGGGCCCCCCGGGGGGCCCCCTCGGGGGCCCCGAAAGGGTACTGCGGAATTAGGAGAAGGGCAGCAGCAGCAAAAGGGAAATGAACTAAAAAGAGAGAAAAGCTTTTTGCAAGGAGGCAGTGGACCAGTGGTCCACTTGGAGAGTCTCTGTGGCGCTGCAGCAGCAAACAAACAAACCCCAAAAAAGACCCTAGGGCCCCCTGGGGGGCCCCCCGGGGGGTAGGGGCCCCCCGGGGGGCGGGGGCCCCCCCCCCCACTGCTGCTGCTGCTGCTGCTGCTGCAGCAGCAGCAGGATCGTCGGGGGCAGGGACTTGGCCTCGAGGAAGCAGAGCTGCTGCTGCTGCTGCTGCTGTGAAGTTGAAATTTGCAAAATAAATAAAATGAGATTTGAGCGAAAAGAATTCGGAGGGTTTGAGGCCCCAGGAGTTGGGGTGTACGTACACCTGGTCCAGCTCGGCCAAAAACGCACTCGAGGGACTTTCCATGCTGTGGCAGAAAAACCCGCCCCAAACCCTAAACCCTAAACCCTAAACCCTAAATCCTGAACCCTAAACCCTAAACCCTGAAACTGCGGAGGAGAGAAAAGCCGCAGCAGAAAAAGGTGCACACTGAAATTCAGCGAGGAAGGGGTCGTGAGGGTTAAGGGAGATCTGCACGATGTGGAGACCCTAAACCCTAAACCCTTAACCCTAAACCCTAAACCCTCGCAGGAGTCCCCGAGCTGCTGCGGCGCTGCGTTGCGGGGCGTCAGCGCCTAGATATTCGCTTATAGGGAGAAAATAAACAAATAAAAATGAAACAAAAATATAAAATATAAAAGTAGATGCGCATGCAACTACAATTCTTAGTTTAGGTTGAGCTGTACATACAGCCCAGCAGTGCTCGCGCATGCAGCCAGGCTCCAGCGGCAGCCCCAAGAGGCTTTTTTGCATTTATTTCCCTTCCAATTTGACCGAAGTTTATTTATTTCGAATCAATTATATAAATTAAACATAAAACAAACACAAAAGCACCAAAAGAGACTTTAAAAACCTCCTGCTTCGCTGCTGCCCGCGTCCTCCCGGCGCCCATCTGCTGCAGCACCTCTTCGCGATTTTCTTCGGGAAATAAGAAGCTTTTAGTTCCTTCCCATTTTACTTTTGTTTTGTTGCGAATTTGACTCAACTAGAAGCTTCTTCAGCAGCCCCGACGGGCAGCGGCAGCAGCAGCAGCAGCAGCAGCAGCGGCAGCAGAGGCAGCAGCGGCAGCAGCAGCAAGAGCGGGGGCAGCAGCCAGAGAATCGCCGGCTCAGACTTCCTGTTGCTTCTTTCGCAGCAGCAGCAGCAGCAGCAGCAGCAGCAGCAAAAGCACCAGCAGCAGCAAGGGTGTCTGCAGCAGCAGCAGCAGGTGCTGCCACGGCAGCGTCGAGTGCAGCAGCGCGGCGCAAGCCTTTCTCTGCGTTTGCCTCCAAGGGCTTAGGGTTTAGGGTTTAGCGTTTAGGGTTTAGGGTTTAGGGTTTGGCAAGATGAAGCTCACCGTGGAGTTGATTCTTCAGGCCCCCCAGTTCATTTCCCCTGCCAAGAACTGGACCCTTAACTTGCGAGGTGGTTTAGGGTCTAGGGTTTAGGGTTTAGGGTTTAGGGTTTAGGGTTTAGGGTTTGCGCACCTTCGTCTGATCTTGCCGCGGCTTCACCGCCGAACTGCCCCTCCCCAGCCGCGCGCCTCCCCTTCCCGCAGGGCTTAGGCTTTAGGTTTAGGGTTTAGGGTTTAGGGTTTAGGGTTTAGGGTTTAGGGTTTAGGGTTTAGGGTTTAGGGTTTGCGTGCAGGCTGCCAAGTGGACACCATAGAGAACTTGGGGGCCACAGGCGACTACTTCGAGTGTATAGACCTCAGCGACAACCAGATCATCAAACTCCAAAACTTTCCTCCTTTAAACCGCCTCAACACTTTAGTGAGAACTTATTTCATTCCAACCCAAATATACCAATTAAACACCCTCAGGGGCCCCCAGGGGCCCCCAGGGGGCCCCCAGGGGGCCCCTCAGGGGCCCCTTAGGGGGCCCCCAAAAGGGGCCCCCTCGGGGCCCCCGGGGGGCCCCTAGGGGCCCCCAGGGGCCCTCTGGGGGCCCTTGGGGGGCCCCTAAGGGGCCCCTGAAAGGTTTGGGGGCCCCTAGGGGGCCCTTTGGAAGGGTTGGAGCAGCAGAGGGAGGGGTGTTGTGGCGGAAGGCGAGGGTTTAGGGTTTAGGGTTTAGGGTTTAGGGTTTGTGTGCAGATTATGTGCAACAACAGAGTGGCTCGAATTGCTCCCGATCTTTTTTCTTTTATTCCAAATTTGGTTTCTCTTGTTTTGACAAACAACAGGGTGAGAAAATTGAAATATAATTCACTAGGGTTTAGGGTTTAGGGTTTAGGGTTTAGGATCTAGAGCTTTTTGTCTGGGGAGAATCTCTTTGAAAAACAAATTTTTAAATTTCATTCTTCGCCAGTTTTTAAATTCAATTTTGATTTACCAAATCTTTTATTTATGTCTTATTTACTTTAATTGAATTAACCTAATTAAATTAATTCAATTAATATAATTCAATTAATTTATTTGAATTTAATTCAATTAATTTAATTTAATTAATTTAATTTAATTTAATTTTTATATTTTATTTTCAGATCGAAAGACTTTCCGACCTGGAGCCTCTCTTCCAAGGTATTTATTTTTACTTTTATTTATTTTATTTTTGTTTTATTTTATTTTATTCTTATTTTAATTTATTTTAATTTCCTTTTCTACTTTCTATTTCTTTTATTTCTTTATTTCTTTCATTTCTTTTATTTCTTTTCATTTCTTTTATTTCTTTTAATCCCTTTTACAGAGGCAGGTAAAATAGTAATATGTACTTTAATTAATTCAAAAATAAAATCGAAAAAACAGAAATATAAAATTATCCCTTTTTGTGTGTCGTGCTGCTGCTGCTGCTGCTGCTGCTGCTCTTGCTGCTGCTGCTCTTGCTGCTGCTGCTCTTGCTGCTGCTGCTACGACTACTACTGCTGCTGCTGGTGCTGCTGTTTCTTCTCCTTTTGCTGCTGCTGCTACTCCTCCTGCTACTCCTCTTGCTGCTGCGCTGCTGCTGCTGCTGCTGCGCTGCTGCTGCTGCTGCTGCGCTGCTGCTGCTGCTGCTGCGCTGCTGCTGCTGCTGCAGCAAAGCGTCTGGAGCGTCTGGTGTTGTGGGGCAACCCCGTGAGCATGGCTTCTTACTACCGGCTTTTTTTGATTTACAAAATTCCGAGTTTGAGGTTTTTGGATTTTTCAAAAGTTCGACAAGAAGAAAAACAAAAAGCAAAAAGCACTTTTGAAGGAGAAAACGGAAAGAAACTCCTCGAGCAAATCGGTGCTTTCTTTTTCTTTCTTTTTCTATTTCTTTTTTCTTTTTTTTCCCTTTTTTGGACCTTTTGGAACTTTTTTGGGACGTTATGTTATTTATTTCTCAACTCTAATTAATTGATTAGTTATATATTTCTATTTATATATTTATCTATTTATTATTTATTTGTTTATTTACTCTAATTAATTAATTAATTCATTTATTTATTTATTTATTTCTTTGCAGCGCCCCCGCGAAAAGCAGAAGAGGGCCCCGAGGGAGCAGCAGCAGCAGCAGGAGCAGCAGCAGCAGCAGCAGATAAGAGGGGAACTCTCACGCCCCAGGAACTGGAGGCTGTTAAGGTTTGTTTCTTTCCTTTTATTTAAATTCTTTTCGTTTTTATTTATTTTATTTTAATCTTTTTTAATCCTTTTTCTTTTTTATTTTATTTTAATCGTTTTTTAATTCTTTTTGTTTCTTTTTTAGAGTATATGTTGATCTTTTCTTTAAATTCTCTTATCTTTTTCATTTATTTATATTTTGTTTCCTTTGCACCATTCTTCTTTTTAGATTTCTTTTCTTCTTTCTTTGTTTCTTGCCTTTTCAATTTAGAAGTGTTTTATTTCTTTTAATTATTTAATTCCTTTTAGTTTACTTCTTTTAACGCATTTAATCTTTATATTTCTTCTAATTGCTTTTAATTTTTATTTTAATTTATTTTATTTTATTTTATTTTATTTTATTTTATTTTGGAATTTGTTTTTATTTTTATTTTTTATTTTTTCTTTTTTCCATTTCCCCGCTGCTCCCCTCCCCCTTAACCAATTTCTCATTTTCTTTTTCAATTATTAATTATTTATTTATTTATTATTATTAATTAATTAATTTATTATTAATTAATTAATTAATTTATTTATTTATTTATTTATTTATTTTTAGAAAGCCATAGGAAGAGCTTCTTCTTTGGAGGAAATTTCGCGTTTGGAAAATGCCCTCAAAAGAGGGATTATGCCGGAGGGACTTTTGAGTGAGTTTATTATTTTTAATTTAATTAATTTAATCAATTTAGTCAATTTAATTAATTTAATTTAATTAATCAATTAATTTATTTAATTTGTTTTTAATTGTTTTGTTTATTCTCTCTTGTTCGTTTTATCCTTTATTTCCCTCTTTCACTATTCCGCTTGCTGCTTTGGGGCACAGCAGCAGCAGCAGCAGCAGCAGCAGCAACGGCAGCAGCAGCAGCAGCAGGGGGGAGGCTGCTGCTGAGGAGGTGGCGGCGGAGTTTGTGGATTCTTATTTGCTGCTGGCAGATGCTTTTGCTGCAGCAAATCGAGACAGCGATGCCTGCCGTTTGCTGCAGCTGCTGCTGCAGTCCCCGGGCCTCGAGGCCGATTGCACTGTAAGTTATTTCTTTATTTTCAATTAATTAATTAATTAATTAAATAATTAATTAATTAAGTTTATTTATTTATTCATTTATTTATTTATTTTTTTGTTTGTTCGTTTGTTTGTTTCTTTATTTGGGAGGGTTCGATTGTTTTGTTGCTGCTGCTGCTGCTGCTGCTGTTTTTGCTGAGTTCGCCCGTTTTGCTGTTTATTAATTTTTATATTTTGCTGCAGCAGCAGCACTTTTGTCTCCTTTTCTCTATTTGTCTTTTCCTGCCTTTTTTCCTTTCTTTCCTGGTCTCCCAGGGCTTAGGGTTTAGGGTTTAGGACTTAGGGTTTAGGGTTTAGGGTTTAGGGTTTGGGGTTTGCAGCTGTCAGTGAAGCTGGCGAATTCTTACGTGGCCCTCAACAGAACCGAAGAAGCAATTTCAGTCCTTCAGCGGTAAACACTTTTATTTTATTTTTTATTTTTTATTTTATTTGAATTTTAATCTGATTTTTATTTTATTTTTTCCTTTCCGTTTCATTTTAATTTCCTTTATCTTCTTTTCCTCCTTTCTATCTTCCCTTCTGTCTTTTGTTTTTTTTATTTTTCATCTTCTCTTCATCTCGCAGCAGCTATCTCTGCTGCTGCTGCTGCTGCCGCTTGGAGTTGCTGCTGCTGCAGTGTGTGTGCTGCTGCTGCTGCTGCTGCAGCTGCATCGCAGCAACGGAGGCCTGCTACCCCGCCTTATCAGGGGTTCGAGATGCCGCTGCTCGTTTGCTGCTGTCCAATTTGCTGCGGCAGCAAGGAGCAATTTTAAATGCAGATTGTTTGCTGCTGTCCGTTTCCTTCAAGGCCCTCTGGGACACAGAATTCATCCCAGAGTCAGCGCCCCCTGCTGCTGCTGCTGCTGCTGCTGCTGCGGCTAATGCTGGTGCTGCCGCTGCTGCGGCCGATGCTGCTGCTGCCGCTGGTGCTGCTGTTGCTGCTGCTGCTGCTGTTGCTGCTGCTGCTGTGGAAAGAAGCACGCCATATTTGCTGATATGTTTGAATGGGATTGCTGCGCCTTTGTATTTAACTAAAGTTTAATTAAATAAAATATTTTAAATAATTATTTTGCTGCTGCTGCTCCTTTGCTGCTGCACCTGCGCCAGCGCGTTGCCCCCCGAAGAAAGGGCGCTGCAGTACGAGCAGCTAAAAGAAGCATTTAAAAAGCGACAAGCAGCAGCAGCAGCAGCAGGAGCAGCAGCAGCAGCAGCAGCAGCAGAAGAGGGGGCCCTGGCAGCCCGCTTCTTGTCTCTTGTAACAGAATGCGAATTAGATATTCGAAGAGTCAGCAAAGAGGCTCAAGAAAGAAGAGTCAAAGCAGCACAAAAAATTAAACATCCAAGCACTTCTCCAAAACTTCCAACTCCAACCAAATCCAGCCAAATCCAACCCCAGGGGGCCCCCCAGGGGGGCCCCGAGGGGTTCACCGTCTCAGACTCCCCTAGGGGGCCCCCTGCTGGTGAGGACCCAGCGGGGGCCCCCTGCGGGGCCCCACAGGGGTCCCTCCAGGAGGGGGCCCCCCATGGGGCCCCCGAGGGGGCCCCTCAGGGGGCCCCCGAGGGGGCCCCTCAGGGGGCCCCCGAGGGGGCCCCTCAAGGGGCCCCCCAGGGGGGCCCTCAGGGGGGGTCAGAAGGGACCCCGTGTGGGGGCCCCTCCGAGGACCCGTGCGGGGTACTCGAGGGGGGCCCCCCAGGGGCCCCCGAGGGGGGCCCCCCGGGGGCCCCCGAAGATGAGGGTTTGGGGGTTGGAGTTGGGAGGAAAGGGGTTTTGGTGATGAGTCGGGGTTTAGAAGGGAAGAGAGAAAAAGGGACAAAAAGAATAAAATATAATACTGTTAAAAGGGACTTGGAGTTGCAGGGAATTGAAGATATTGCAGGCAAGAAAGGCCAGGCCCAGGGGCCCCAAACCCTAAACCCTAAACCCTAAACCCTAAACCCTAGTTTGTGGGCGCTGCGTGGGCCGCGCTGAGGGCCTGCGTGTGGAAGCAGCCAAGCCGCAAACCTGGTCCGCAAACGGCAAACCCTAACCCCAAACCCTAAACCCTAAACCCTAATTTGTGGTTTAGGCCTCGAGGGCTACTGCGAGTTTCTGTGCGCGGGGGCGGAACTGCTGGGGGCCCTCCGCCGCTGGCCAGAAGCTGTGAGGGTTTTGGAAGGGGCCCAAAGAGACTGGAGACAAAAAAGGCACTGGGGGGCCCCCCAGGAAAAGAAACAACTCAAAGAAAAACTCCAGCTCGCCACCCTTAGTGAGATTAGGGTTTAGGGTTTAGGGTTTAGGGTTTGGGGCTTGGGGTTTAGGGTTTGGGATCTCGGGTTTGATTTTAGGGTTTAGGGTTCAGGGTCTAGGGTTTAGGGTTTAGGGTTTAAGGTTTGGGGTTAGAAGCGCGTGTTGGGGTTTTGCGTAACAGTCGTGCGAGTGTCTTTGCGCGGCGGCGCTTGGGGGCCCCAATGCAGCTAATTCAGGGTTTAGGGTTTAGGGTTTAGGGTTTAGGGTTTAGGGTTTAGGGTTTGCTGCAGAACTGAGTCTGGAGGGGGGCCTCCACAGACTGGCCCTCAGTACCCTCCGCCGGCTGCTGCAGCGGCGGCTGCGGAGGGGGCCCCCCCCGGGGGCCCTTTTGGGGGCCTACGGGCGGCTGCTGTTTATGCAGGGGGCCCCCTGCAGCAGCAGCAGCAGCAGCAGCAGCAGCGGGTGGAACGGGAGCTGGAGGGATAAGGAGATGATGCTGGAGAACCGGCAAGAAATCTTTTTTATTTTTATTTAACTATTTAATTTAATTTAATCTAATTTAATCTAATTTTTTAATTCTTTTTCTTTTTTATGTTTTAAAGTCAATTTCCTTTTATTTACACGAAATTCTTTGCTGCTGCTGTGCTGGTTAATTAGAAATGAATAAACAAATAAAGGACTAATTAAAAGTAAATAAACAAGTAATTAATTAATGAATTAATTAAATGATACTTAATTAGCAATTAATCAACCACTTGCTACAAATCTCCTACCAAACGCCCCCCGCTGCAGCAGCTGCTGCTGCTGCTGCTGCTGCTGCTGCTGCTGCTGCAGCTCGTGGGTGATTCGGCAGCTGCTGCTGCGCCCCACAAGCGTCTCCTTGTGTCTCCTCGGGGGCCACTTTTGTCTCCTTTCTCTCCGCTCCAGATTTGCTGCAGCAGAATATTCCAGGGCCCTTTTGGGGGCCCCCAGCAGCCCCTTAACAGCTCTTTGTCTTGCTGCTGCGTTTCTCTCCCACGCCAGCGCACACGCCCTCCAGGTAGGGTTTAGGGTTTAGGGTTTAGGGTTTCGGATCTCGGGTTTGGGGTTCAGGGTTTAGGGGTTGGGGTTTGGGGTTTGGGGTTTGGGGTTTGGGGCTGGGGTTTAGGGTTTGGGGTTTGGCGTTTGGGGTTTAGGGCTTACGGTTTGGGGTTTGGGGGCTGGGGTTTAGGGTTTGGGGTTTGGCGTTTGGGGACTGGGGTTTAGGGTTTAGGGTTTAGGGTTCTGGGTTCAAAGCTTAGGGTTCAGCGTTTCAGCTTCAGGGTTCTGGGTTCTGGGTTCAGGGCTCAGGGTCCAGCGCTCAGGGCTTAGGGTTTAGGGTTTAGGGTTTAGGGTTTAGGGTTTGCGCTGCAGGACCGCCACGCAGCAGTTTTGAAAGGGTTTTCAATTCTTTGTCGATATGCAGAGTTGCGGCAGAAGAGCCAGTTGGGGTGTACAGACAGAAGGCTCTTCATAGCGGAAACCATTTACAACTTCGCCCGGCACGCAAACCCTAAACCCTAAACCCTAAATCCTAAGTCCTGCTCTCTAAACCCTAAACCCCTGACGCTAAGCCTTGGATTCTAAAGCCTGAAGCCCTAAACCCTAAACTCTAAACTGTGAAGTCCCAAACACTAAACCGTAGGACCCTAAGCCCTCAAACCCTACGCTCTAAAACCCTAAACCCTAAACCCTAAACCCTCGAGGTCTTTGGCTTGCCCGAAGGTGCTCATTCTGCAGCCAGAAGAGACACATTTTATTTTATTTTATTTTATTTTATTTTAATGTTATTTTTTTAATTTAACTTTTGAATTTCTTCACTTCTTTTTCTTTCTTATTTGGCCACAGCCCCACCATGAGGCTTTTTGTTTTCTTATTTTTTCGTGTTGCTGCTGCTGCTGCTGCTGCTGCTGCTGCCAGAGGCCTTTGCGAAATTGCAAGTAGCAGATATTGTTCGATTGAGCGTGAATATTTATTCTTACTGATTGACTAATCAACTAATTAATTAATTAAGTTCTATTCTAATTAATTAACTAATTAATTAATTAATTAATTAATTAATTAATTACTATTCTGATTAACTAATTAATTAATTAATTACTATTCTGATTAACTAATTAATTAGTTAATTAATTAATTAATTAGAAGAGTAATTAATTAATGAAATAAGAATAATTAATTAATTAATTAATTATTCTTATTTCAGGGCCTACCACCACCTCCGCCTGTCTCGTTTTTGTGTTCCTTTATACCTCCGCTGTCTCGCAATTCTGGGGGGCCCTGGGGGCCCCCAGGGGCCCCTTGAGGGGCCTTCAGGGGCCCCTGGGGGTCCGCCAGGGGCCCCTAGGGGGCCCCCAGAAAGCCCTGAGGGGCCTCCAGAGGCTGTTGAGGGGCCCCTGGGGTCCCTCGGGGGCCCCCTGGGGGCCCTTGGGGGGCCCCTGGGGGCCCTGGGGGAGACCGCTGAGGACCTGGGGGGCCCCTGGGGGCCCCCAAAGGACCCCACTTTGAGGCAGGAGTGGATGCAGCTGAGGATGGTGAGGAGACTAAACCCTAAACCCTCAACCCTAAACCCTAAGCCGGGGGCGTCGAGAGTGAGTTTCAAGCGTTCGGGCCGTGTTCTTGGTGCCGGCGCGAAAACAAACCCCAAACCCTAATTTGTGGTTTACGGCTCTGCGGGGCGCATGCAGTGCACCTAAACCGT